CCCTCTCGTTCTCTCTTCTACGTTTAATGATTATCGAAACGTCATCTCAAGATAACCGATTGCGATAGGCGGCGCTCTGCGATGTCATAAATGAGTCACCGAAATTACTGGAACTTGTCGCGATATGTGCGACAAGCGCGAGTTGACTAATTGCGATTTAGCGATTCGCTTTACCTTCCCGGACAGTTGCTCGTCAACTTGAACGCAAACGGAAAACAAAACCACTGTTAATTTGGTTTAGCTTCTTGTGCATCCTGCTCGTGGCGTTCGGAGCCCCGTTGATAATTTCGATTATCCGCAACCAGCGGATGTTCTCTTACTCTCTTCCATATTACACAGATCGGTGACATAAATGCAGGAAGAATTGTCAATTTTTCTACGCGTATCGTCACTCGAGAACAAGTCGCGCCGACAATCTACCGCGATTGATTTTGTTCAGCGATTCTTTTTTTTGTCCTCTTCTACATTTCACAGATCTGTAACATAGACGAAAGATCTGATTAACAATGATTCGAGCGAAATAACTAGAATACGATTCGATCCGGAGGCGTCTCGGGACGCAAAATGATATTCTTCCGTGCTTCCGGGGCTTCCATTAAGAGTTTCTTTCATTCCCTTTTTTTCTTCCCGTGTGTCAACAGTGACGTCAATCGAGCGAAATGTATAAAAAACAACCACGGTCAGGATGACGTCGACGACGACGACGATGATGACGATGACGACAACGGCGACGGCGGCGACGAGGATGACGACAACGGCGACGGCGGCGACGAGGATGACGATAACGGCGTTGATGGCGGTGATGACGACGGCGATGCAGACGGCGACGACGACGACGACGACGCAAACCGTCAGACACAAGGAGGCTTTGATTGTTCCGACGTTTTCATTGCGGTTGCTGCTGCATGTGTATCTGGTGATGCATGCTACCGAGGACGTTCTTGATCGCTGAGGCCTTGAGAAGTCGCTTGAGCACACCGCTGGTACCGCGGTGCTGCAGACTCTTATGCGTGGTCAGCGAGTTCTTCGTACGGTATCTACGGTTACAGAACTCGCAGACGTAGAGCGTGTCCGATTGCTCGTGTTTGTCTTGGTAGTGGCGTTTGAGGGAGTAGTAGCATGAAAACATGCGACGGCAGTACGGACATTCCTGAGGCTCGTTTATGCCACCCGCCGTGGGTGGTGGCATTCGGTACACGACAGTGGGAGGCGTCGTCGGTGCCGGATGCGTCCCGTTGCCCGTACCTGAAACGAATCCGTATAAGATTGCTGTCGGGGAGATAGCTCGTCATCTCAAATCCGGGAACCGGGCAATAATTTCGGCCGATTCGGATCTCGATCGTTTTGTTCGCGACGAGATTCGAGTGAGTGGAAGCGCACCGCCGACAGGTACTTTCTTCTCACGTTTTACAGCACGAGAGATTCAAAAAGCGTTCAATTGGCCCATCCGCTAGGTATCATCTAGGCGACGCCTGCCGATGACGATAAAAATGCGATGGGATGTATATACCATTTTAATCAACGCACTTGAATATCTCTCTATGCTCTAAAGGGCTACATATAGCCTGGACCGGAAAAAACGAGTGTAACTCTTTAAGCTCTGATCGCTCCCGTTATTCTATGCAGAAAAGTATCGAGACGAGATCATCGAAGAGCGAATACACCTCAGATATTATAATTTTTATGCTGGAAAATATCGGGATAAAATGTGAAATATGCTGGAAGGTGTCTTCATTCTTCGATGATCTTACTTCGGTAGTTTTATACGCAGAATGAGGGGAGAATCGAGATTTACACAGTCCGGGAAATTTTGACGAAGCGGCCACGTGCAGATAGACGGGTTAAACTGAGCAGAAAAGTCCTGCATCATTTTGCTGACAACCACGCAAAATTTCGAATTATTAATGAAAAGTGATCATGTATAGAGGCTTCTTTAATTAATAACTCCTAATCTACAAGTATATGACAGCTGTTGTACTTAGCGGCAAGTTCGAGGTACAAAGTTCAATGCATTAATCGCTAGATACAACAGCCGTCATATATTTGTAAATTAGACCACTCTGAACAAAAAGGTCCATTTCGCAAATAACACGCAAATTTTTTAGTTATTAATTAGGGAATTCTCTATACGTGGCCATTTTCAATCATTAACAACACGAAATCTTGTATGCTGCGTGTGAAATTTTGTTCGCAAAATGATAAAGATTTTTTGCTCAGTCTAACCCGTTCTATCTGCATATCGCCGTTCGGTGAAGACGCGTATCCTATATATTCAAATAAAATTATAAATATATTTAAAATATTTTCCGAGGAGTGTGTCCTCGATAATGCACGGTCCGAGGTAAATTTCTCTTTATTCCCTTTTCCTCATCAAAATGCGTATCTCTCGCAATATCATACAACCTCGTGAAAAAGAGATCTCGATATTTTATTTAGTTTGAAAAATATTCAAGTGCGTTGATTAAAATGGGACACACAGCATGTGTGTTTGCTCATTATGAAAAATTTCAATGTCGAATTTCACTTTGACGGCCCGTCGTATAACTCATGTGCGGTATGTGATTTCGTAAATCATAAATCACGAGTGACGAAATGTAGAGTGTAGCGTGCAATTTTTTTTGGTTTCTTTCACATACACCGATGTAACAAATATATAATTGAAATCACCGTTTGTGAGAGATAACCGTTCATAATTATTCGGATCCAAATCAAGTTTGTGGTTGCGTGTGAGAATAGAAGAGTTCAAAATGGTGTAAGAGAGGCTGAAAGTTGTGTGCAAATCGCAAAGCTCCATAGATTGTATAAGTTGGTTAGATAGCATATAATCGCAGTTTCTTACTTCCTCCTTGCAATCTTATCGAATCACCGAAACAGTACACACGAGATGACTGAGGATTTCGAAAGAAAAAGGGAAGATGAGCGAAAGGGCGTAGAACAGGATCTTATATATCGCGTGCATCGAGCTGGCGATTAATGTATGCGTTAGCGTATGGGGAGTAGATATCTGTGGATAGAGAAATTATACAGCAGCAATACGAGCTTGCGCACTGTCGCCAATTTCGAATTGTACGTTTTAAAAACGATTTCCGGAAAAAATAGGACACGTCATTTTCAACGTGAACCATATCCGTCGGTCAAACGAGAAAAGATCAAAGTAGTTTTTCGAGATGAGAAATCCAGCGATCGATTTCGCGCGATAATATGTGCGAATCTTTCGCTCTGTCAAAGACCTCACGATATTTTCGACGATTCCAAAATAATCAGAGAAAATAATCAGAGAAACGACATAAATAACGGAAATGCTAACAATCACTGTAGGAAACAATGCTAGTGAACGTGGGATACGACGAAAAAAGCATGAGTGTTTTTTCGGTTGGAAAATGTTTAATATATATATATATATATATATATATATTTGACATTTTCGCGCGGAACTTACAATCTCTGGCAATCGTCACAACCGCGCCAAAAGTCGATTGCACTTTGTCCAATTTTTTCGCGAAGCTCTCGGTTTGTGCGCAACGCCAACCGAATCCGCAGATTCGACGATGCTCAGAAGAAGAATGAACAGACATGAATCGAACAAAGCACGTAGACAAAGCGAACAAGCAAGCAGGCAGCAGGCGTACAATCGCGTGGACATGCAAACGTGAACGAGCAATAAACGAATAGCTAAGTGAGCAGATTGCCGGCTCGACTGTAAAGTAATTGTGTGAGATATACGAAATGTAGCGGACGTTACATAAACGATAAGAAATGAGAAGGGCTTAGGTTAATCGGAGATTTGTTATTTTCGCAATAGTAATTCCGTATCGAGAACGACTGCGATAGTTTGCGATTTAGACCCACTATCCGTACAGCTATCTCCGTGACTCTCGGCATCGGGAAGGTATCGAGCTGGTAAAAGCTAATAACACCTCCTTTAAGGAAGATTGTTTCATTGGGATTGTCGACAGGCGGCGTATCGTTAGTTGTAATCGTCTTGAACCTCGGTTGCGTAATAGACTCGACCATGTCGTTGCAATGAATTTTTGCTACGTACACGCGGCAGATGGCTAAAATGTTCTAGATAACGTAGATACGGATAAAATTAATGCCAGTTCTAATAGTTTTCGACACTCAACATTGCAAAGTTACGTGTATGCGTGTGTATGTGTGCGCGCGCGCGTGTGTGTGTGTGTGTGTGCGTGGAGCGTGTGAATAAAATAATTTTTGCGAAGGGCAATTCCTCGTTATGGAACAATATCGACAATATTGTACAATTGCAGCACACAAAGTCGCACGTGTATATGTGTGTGTATGCGAGCAACAATAACTCTCGAACAGTGGTTCAACGTGTCTAACGCGATTATGCGGCCGAGTGTCTGTTGCGCTTCCGAAAGGAAATGGGGGAAAAACGCTGAAAAGAGATGGCCAAGGTATACTGGAGCTCAATTATACGTTTGTCAAGCATTCGTGCGTAAACTTTTGGTGAAATCACGTCCGCGTAGCTGCGCGACATGCTGCGCTTTACCGATGCACCGAGAATACGAGTCACTGACAGCAGGTATAACGGGTCGGCGAATACCGGAAGAGCTCGATCAACGGCGCGTACGGTACCAAAGAGGCGCGAAGGACGACGGGATAAGAGGAAAGAAAGCAGTTACGCGAGCCGAGGATCGGACGACGGCGCGAGACTCGAACCGTAAGACGAACAAGAAAAGTAAGAAGATTCCGCGTGCGAGCTGAGACCGGTTTCTCTCCGCGGCATGCACCATTCGCGGAGCTAGAAGGGTGGAACGAGAAGGAGGAAGAAGGAAACAAACTCTCGGCGCTCTACCTCGACGAGGGGGAGACGGGACGACGCGCGAATAAGCACGGAAAGTGTCCAATGCGAAATGAATGTCAAAGAAGGTGCGATAGGAAATAGGTGTGTACGCGCGTCGTTACGTACGTGTTTTGCAGATACGAAAGAAACAAAAAGATAGAGAAGACAGAAGGGGAGGAGGGCATAGAGAGAAAAAGAGAGAGAGGTGTGTGTGTGTGTGTGTGTGTTTGTATGTGTACGTCACACAAAGGTGAGTTTCGAGAAAGACTATTAAAAGTTTGGAAATGCTGTGCGTCATAGGTGTTTAACGTGGTCCCTACCTTATCTAAACCTTCAAAAGAACTTAATGTCAATGTCGCCGGGCCTGCTCTTATGATAGGTATATATATGGGTCATCAGGGAATTACGCGAGCAGTACACCCGCTCGCAGATGACGCATCTGTACTCCTCCTGTCGCTCGGCGTGTTTGTCAGCAACGTGGCGTTTCAGGGATGCTTTGCTGCATAGTACCTTGCCGCACAGTTGGCAGGTGAACAACTTCTTCGCTGACTGGGTGTTCAGAGAGTTCAAGGTCAGTCCCGTCATAGAGGTGAGCACTGAAACACAACAACGCACCTCTCATGCAGCTGCACACCCCCAACACTTATAAACCCCGCACCCTGACCGCCGGAAAAACAATCGCCCGAACGGCTCTCTCGCTCGAGAATGCGAGCGCGAGTGCGTCGATTTCCTTTATTTTTCCTTTATTATTACGATTTTACGATTTCCCCCCCTCCCCCCTAAAGCTCGGAAACAATAAGTATGTATTCGCTTAAAGCTCGTAATTCGTACTTCCACAGACGGATTAGCTCGTAACGATCTCTCTCCCTCTCTCTCTCTCTCTCGCTCTCTCTCTCTCTCTCTCTCTCTCACTCTCTCTCGCTCTCTTGCGACGATTGATATTTCTATACATAGCGAATATATAAGAATACGCGACAATTACCGTATCTTCCCACATTTTGACAATCGTATATTGGCTCGCCGATATTCTCCGCGGAATCTTCTCTACTCCTCTTATCTCATTCTATTCCCTCACGGTCAATTATCACCGAGTAATGCGAATTGATATGAAATTCATTTCAATTACTTGAGAAGCATCGTTTGGGACAACGTTTTAAAACAAATGAATGTAACGCGCGAAAATTTTAAATGGTCAGTGTGCGAATGTAAAAAAGGTCGATCCCTCCCCCTTCCCCTTTAACCTCCCAATCCCCTCCTTCTCCTTTTCCTTCTTCTTCTTCCTCTTCTTCTTCTTTTTCTTCTTCTTCTTCTCCTTCTCCTTCCTCCTCCTCCTCCTTTTCTTATTCTTCCTCTTCCTCTTGTTTTCTTCTTCTCCTTTTTCGTTCTCTTATCTTTATCCTTCTACATCTCTCGTACGTAGGTCGCACCGACCTGTATATCGACCGATCGACCAATTGGTCGATCGATCGACCGGTCGATCGATCCATCGGACGTAAGGTTTGCATCGTTAGAAATGCAATTACGCGTTACTATTGGGAATAAACAGGGGAGAAGGATCAGAGACGCGAAAGAATCGACTCGTCGTTTCTCTTCGTGCGGAGCAAAGCAAGAATTGTTTCTAATGGCGAGTCTTCTGCGCCGGCTTTCCTCGAAACTCCGATCCGGTGCTAACTCGAGACGAGAGGTAAGACAAGATGTGCGCGCACATGCATGAAATATTCCGCGCACGTAGTATACACACAATCACACAACAGACACGAATCGTTTTACACGTGCACATCATATGTGAACATGTATATGTGCGATCGTGGGAGAAAGTTGCAAGGTAATGGAGACGGGCGTATTACGCGCGGAATACGAATCGCTGGTGCGTTTAATTTCCCTCAAAGCGAGGCTCGATTCTATATGACGCGTGAAGGCGCGATACTCTGCGAACCGACGGCTTGTCGCCCGTTTCAACACGGCTCCACGGACGAATATATACCGTACTCTATGTGATTGATTTTACCGTGCTTGTGTGGTACGTTATTATACAGCTCACCTTATTTTACATACGTATATACTGTATAACACTTTTATTAATTTGACAAATATCAGTGAAACGAATGGATCGCTTGGAACTTGATGTCATTCGTGATTTTATAGAACGTATCTACAAATGAATTCTGTTGATATGTGAAAGGTATGAGTGCGGATATTGTCGTTGGAATAAAATGTGAATCGATGGTGAATTGTTATTCCGTCTTGGTTACATGCCTCATTATGACTTCAATAAATCCTAATGTTTTTATGTATAATGTACATATCATACGGTCGCTTTTTGTCGTTACAACACAACAAGATTCGATGATGGCAATCATCAAAATTTCATTCGGATAACTATCTTTGGTATTTAATATTTCAACGACATAAGCGCTCGATTTTGATGTAAAATATTGGCTCGACATTACGCGTTTGTGTCTGACCATTCTTTCGCGTCAGTTTTCTTAATAATTAAAATAATTCGCCATTTATTGTTCAAAAGCGGTTCCAGCGATTTCAGCCATTTCGCCGAAAGTGTGTAATTTCATTTCAAAGAATATTTCGAATAATATTATTTGAGACACAAAGAGATAAATGATTAGATAAATATATGGAGAGAGAGAGGGAGTGTGAGAGAGAGGGGAGAAGGAAAGAGAGTGAAACGATACTCGTCGAAAGAGAAATAAGAATGCCTAATCGCACGGAATCGCACAACCAACAAATGTCTTCCATCGTCAAATGGAATGTATGTGCGTTACCAAGTCGTATTATGGATATACATGTATATTGTACAACGGGTTTCAGATATGTGACGAAACCTAACAGACACGAAAAATTAAATGACGATAGAATAGGTACATTGAGCATTCTGGATGACATTGAAAGCATGCAACTCAAAGAAAAAAATTAATTAAATAAACATAATATAAATATGCGTGAGTCTAGCGAGCTGCGTGACGAATTTTGTATTCGCGCATTTCGAAAATTTCGGACGCCTCTCTCGACTCTCTTTCCGTGATATCACATCCCTTTATTAACGCTCGCTCGTTTTTTCACACTTACTATCTTCTATTTGCTCTCGTCATAATATATATGAGAATCTTTTTCGTTCTTCCATTGTAAGGAACTCACAGCAGAAAATACATTTCGTTCGTTTATTCGAGAAGAAAAAAAAAATATATATATATAGAGAGAGAGAGAGAGAGAGAGAGAGAGAAAAGAGAGAGAGAAAGAAAGAAAGAAAGAAAGAGAGAGAGAGAGAGAGAGAGAGAGAGAGATGCATAACTGAAAGTTTCAAGAAATCAATATCGAATGTTTCTCGATCGCTGAAACGAATCGTTCCTAATCGTTCTTATTTTTCATGGCAGGGTATTCTTTCTCATGACGCGAGATATACTCTACTTATTCGTCCCTTGGCAAATATCAATCGATACCAATTATAGTGTTCCGTAATTGCCCGTATACAGATATAAAATAAGACGTCGCGACGCGTTGACGGCTAATTTTTGTGTTTACAAGATACTATTGGATAACATGGCGAATCTCGATTCACGCGCAGGGATTGATCGCTTCTGATCGCAATGTTGGACAGTCACGTCTCATGTAAAAATTGTAACACTGTACAAGCGCGGGATCGGTGCACGATCGATACATGTGAGAATGTCAGCTGTTACGCAACGATACGTTACAGCACGATTCGATTGAACAATTTGATACAAGTTATTTTATACGAAGCATTGCCTTCAAAATCAAAGTACATCATTGTACAAACGTTGTATCCGTCCGCAACATGCCACGATAACGCATCGATAAAACACTTACCTTTGGCTGGAAAGAAAAGAAAAAGAATAGTGAAAGGAAGGCACGCGAAATGAAATTCACCTTTCGACATCTTGCGACAAAATTCCCGCTCACTCTGCATAATCAGCGTGGGCCGGAACGCGAATCTTTTCAGTTCCGTTAATTCTACTGAGGATGTGATAGGTGATCAGAAAAACGAGAGAAAACACAAACAAAGTTATTAAACCAAAAAGTACATATTTTCTTATTATATATAAAAATGAAAATATATTAAAATGCTTTGATATTGCTTAAAAATAATAATAGTATGGTAATAATAATAATAATAATAATAATAATAATAATAATGACAGTGAAAGTGAAGGTGATAATGATAATTAATCGTAATCATAGTAATGAAAGTTGTAGGAAGCTTACTGTGGTAATAGTAATAACAGTAGCTGTAGCGGCAGACGGCAGCAATAGTGCATAATTGTGATCATAGTGACGTGGCAGCGATAATGACAACGCATTAAAACTAGGCGTAATCATTCGTTGCTGGCGAAATGTATCAGGGATTTTATAACGTTAACAATAATATAGCAATAATGGCGATAGAAATAGCGATAATGACAATTACAATGTCAACTGTAATGCTGATGGTGATGAAAATAATAATAGCTGTGTAGGTAGTGGCATGACGGTGACATGGATAAAATGATATAAAAATTTTAAAAATAATAATAATATAATCGTGCTCTCTCTCTATATATATATACACATACACACACACACATACACACACGCACACACACATGTATGCATGTATATATATATATATATATTATATATAAGGACAACAACGATAATAATAGCAATGCGACAATGATAACGATCACATCCGATATCTAGACGCGATGAAATTATATATATACATGTATATATATGTAGATTTGTGTGTGTGTGTATGTGTGTGTGTTTTTGACAAGACAATTTTGATAAAAAATAACACAACAAATTATCACGATGACGCACAATTTTTTTATTCATAGTCCAAATCGCATTTGCGAGCAACGTGTAAACGATGTCGCGTTACGTCACATCGTTACATTGCCACGAGTTAGCCAAAAATTTCTCGAATTCCCTATCAAATCATCGATCGATCTGTCGCGACAACGTTATTACGCTTTGCGCATAAATGCGGCATAGACTCTGCATAGAGGCGTCTCGACCGAAAAAGAATCAGTCTTTCGAAAATAGCCAAGATTTTCTAAAGTTTATCGGAGTTTTGTGCTAGCCGATATGTGTTATTTACACAGATTTACGATTGAACGTTGTCGTAAGGCTCTTTCGGAGAGTTTATATTCCTTATGATTCGCATCATTTCCGCGCGTTTAAATAGTCAGCATTTACTTGCCAATATTAATCGGGGAAGCTCTATCTGTCCGATATATCTATGTAAATAGTCGTAATGTTATTTCTACAGTAACGCAACTAACGGAATCGAAGGCTCACTGTATCATTAAAAACTGTCGTGCGAACAAGATCCTCGTCGTATTCTTTTCGCCCGTTCCCCCCCTCCCCCCTCCTCCCTACGAATTGCTTTCGATATTTCGATAAAGTGCTCTATTGTGGCTAGTGTTTAATTCTACGCAAGTAATTGGGAATTTTTCTTTCGGAGAGACAGATGGCGAGGAAGACAGGGGGAGAGGGGGAGGGGGGAAAGAGAGAGAGAGAGAGAGAGAGAGAGAGAGAGAGGTGGACAGATGGGAGGAGGGGAAAAGGAGAATGAATC